GCCCCCGGGGGGAAGAAAAACCGGCCTCGGACGGAGCTGAAAAAGCAGTTGTTCAAGCGGCGCCGGGTGCTGAGACGGGAGCGGCGGCGGAGGCACCGGGGGGTTGGGGCGGTGGTGAACAAGGGGCTGGTTACTCGCCATCATCTCAAGAAGCCGGCGTCCAGTGCCCCCGGGCCAACATTACCCTGTCTGGGAAGAAGCGAAAGAAATTTTTGCAACGGATCAGGCATGCCCAGAAGGAGAAGACTGCCATGGAGGTGGAAGCCCCACTGAAGCCAGGCAGGACCACTTAGGCACAGCCTAGACGGCAGAAGAAAAGGAAAACTGGAATTATGGAAGACCTAGAATGTGACAGCTGAGCCCAGACAACCTCAGAAGAGGCCATCCCTTCAGTTAGGACAAGAATGATAAGCTTTTTTTTTTTAAAGTTTTTATTTTTGGAGGCAATTGGGGTTAAGTGACTTGCCCAGGTTCATACGGCTAGGCTGGATTAGAACCCAGGTCCTCCTGACTCTAGGGCTGGTGTTCTATCCCATTCGCCTCCTAGCTGCCCCCTTCCCGCCATAGGCTTCTAAAGTTACATGTCTCAGACCTTTCCCTTCCCTCCCCTCCTATGCCTCAAGATTCAAGTCCCTTTGCTGGGATCAGGGGAGTGTAAGATACTGTTTCCTGTGCTTCCTGGGGAGGAAAGAAGGGAGGCCAATGGCTCAGTAGTGATAAGTTTGTAATAAAGTCATTTGAGTTCTGAAAAAAAGGAAAGAAATTGCTGGTATAAGGCAGATGCTGAGTATCTTCATATTTCTGCAGAACATTACTTTAGTGGTGAAAATGGTGCTGGAATGAGGATATTTTCATGAGATTTCAGGTGATTGCAACTCTTCTGAATAGCTGCCACCACCCAAGTGTCTTCATGGGATCTGTGTCTTTCAGGGCATGACTGTCTGCTGTCTCAGTCCACCAAAGCACATGAACTCTATTAAGTGTTTCATATTCTGTGTGGAAAACTCCAATCAATTTTAAATAGCCTACCTGGATATGTGTATTCACTGCTCTTTGAAAGTGTTCACCCCACAGAGCTGGCCCACCAGGCTTCATCTGAAAGGTAACAAGTTCATAGATTCATTCTTTAAGAAGCTTTACTATTTTGCACCATGGTACTAGATAAGTTATTTCATTCTTCTGTTGGACCATAAGTGGTAGGTTTTGGGAAATATATTTTTATTACCACTCTTTATCCTTGGCTAAGGCTTCTTGAACTTTAGTTTGATAAGCAAAATTACCATATTTCCAAATACGAAAGATTTTATTCATCACACCTCCAAACTCTTGTCTCCAATATCCAACTAATTCAGAGTGAGCTGTATGAAGGTGGATATGTTTATTAGTGTTTTCCAGGAATCCATTCATCTTTGCTGGATGTATAAGTATGAAATTCATAGAACTTCCCATCATATTGTCTGGGAACTGTAGCAAAAGATGCACATACCTCTACCCAGGGTGGGTGCCTTTCTGCAGAGGTAACTAGAGTCCCCAGTGCCTTTGAAGGTGGAACATTACCCTGCGGTTTCCAAGGAAAGATATGCCAGAAGACCAGATGCACATCCTTAATTCTCTGGCCAGCACTGGAACTCCCTATGTTTAATTATAGAATCAATAGAAAACAACTGGAGTTTATTGAATGGGTATAGGTGACATGGTCAGACCTAAACTTTAGGAAAAATCACTTTGGCAAGTACATGGATAATGGGTTAAGGCAAGTGAGATCCCTAGTAGTAGGGATTACAGGCACGTGCCTTCACATCCAGTTGTTTTCCCTTTTTCTTTATAAGCACTTAGCACAGTGCCTGATACACAGTCAGCACTTAATAAATGTTCCCTGATTGATTGAGGAGACAGAAACAAGAAGATTTGGCAAGTGCTTGAATATGCAGAGTGGATAATTGCAAGGAATCAAAGATGACACTTAGGTTGGGAACCTGGACAACTGGAAAGATGGTAATTCCCTTGACAGAAATGGTGAAGTTCCACAGAGGGATGGGTTTGGGGAAAAGATTATGCAATGAGATCTGCAATGCAGCTAGCAAGCCATTCAAGCCTGATCATCTTTCCTTGCCTTACTTTGTCCCACCCAAAATGAAAAGCAGAGGGGTTGGTTAATCTTACCACCCAGAATCCAGAGCCTGCCTCAGCCACAAGGTCATCAGGGGTGAGAGTGCAGAATTACAAATCACAAGCATAACTATTTCGAATATAGAGCTTGAAGGGAGCTCAGAGACCATATAGTCCAACCCCCTGATTTTACAGTCAAAGAAGTTGAAGACCAGAGAGGTTAAGTGATTTTCCTAAGGTCACACAGAAAGTTTGAATTTGAATCAATGTTTTATGTCTCTATGGTCAGTGCTCTTTTGGTAGAGGAGGGAAATGATAAATAATCAGTGTTCTTTGGGAAAGACAAATGATAAATAGCAAAAATGAAAATTATGAATGATAGAGCTTAAAGGTCACAGAGTACAAATCAGAGGTAGAATTTAAGTCCATCTTGTCTGTCTCCAATACTTTCCACTGTACAGTGTTGCAAATGGTAGGGTTGGATTTTTGAAATAGTATCTATGCAGATGCTGTTGTGGGTGCTTCTGTAATGATTATGTTATATCTTCACTGAGGGGCTGCTGCCCAGTTGAAGTATGTTGGGTATAGGGTATGTGTGATTGTGTAGAAGACAAACCCCTTGGATGGTAATTGAGGAATGAGCGAGATGTAACCCACTTTTTCAACCTTCCATTCTTTATATTACCCTTGGGATCACATCATAACCTCTCAGGAGGCCATAGCCTCCACATAGCATACAACTACTTTGAATGACTGAATGAGTGAACAAGGGTAAAAATGGAAACTCTCTATTTGAAGAAGGCCTTAGAATTTTCATCACAACTCTTCCTTACCCCCTCCCAATTAGGACTAGAAACAATAAGAATGTCCTAAAGGTCCAAGAGCAGAAATCACTTTGGGAAAAAGTTGAATCTAGAGGTAACAGGGTAAAGTCTCTAGCCCAAGGAGTGCTGAGTACTAGCCATGTATAATAGGGCTCATACAGCACACAGGACCAGCGTTCCCTCCCCAATCTCTACTCCAGGGGTGGGGAACCTGGGGCCTCGAGGCCACATGTGATCCCCTAGGTCCTCAAGTACGGCCCTTTGACTGAATCCAAACATCACAGAACAGATTTGTTCTGTCAAAGGGCCACACTTGAGGACCCAGAGGGCCATGTGTGGCCTTGAGACCCCAGATTCCCCACCCTTGCTCTAGGCTATCTTAGAACAAACCAGTTCTCCCACGGATTAGAGTCCAGTTGATATTCCTTCTTCAGAAAGTTCATTCTAACAAAGCCTAGGGATTGGGGAAGAAACACTAGGTTTTTTGTGGTTCATTTGTGCTGTTACAAAGGTTAAAATCTAGTTGAATTAACTTGAGTACAGTATCTGAGTTAGCCACCAGGGGTATTGGACTGAAGCTATTCCTCCTTGTCAGCTGTATATGCTCATAAACTGAGTTTTCAACAGGTTGTGATGTACAGATGGCCACTAACACTAAAAATGCCTGAGTCATCTCACTTCCCATCCCACTCTCAAAAAAATAGTGCCAGTTTCTCTTTTGGCTCAGAAGCCTCTTCACTATTTTCCCTTCCTCTAATTCAAATCTAGGGGAATGCAATGAAATATTAAATTGTGGAAATTATTATATTTTACTCCCTCCTCCACCCCTCTCTGTTTCCATATTGATTCAGACACACAGCATTTGATGAATGAAGCTTTAATGTACATAAAATAAAATGCCTAGAAAACTAGAACTCTTTCATAATATGAAAATAGATATTGCCAACCACTTCTTCCCTCCAGGATCTTCCCTTCAGACAAAGAAATTTCCTAGCCATACCAAGGCTCATGGGGGGTGGGGGGGGAGAAAAGGAAGGGAAGGGCAGAACATTTGCCCCCCTTCTCAGAATCAACAAAATTCAGGTAAAGTTCTTCCCAGCTCATCAGTCCAATCCTTAGAAGGCCATCATAGTAGTTCTAAGCCTTCACAGGACTCTAGAACATGGTGTGACATCTGTTCTCCCTAAGGTGCTCTACCATCACTCAGCATTCCTTGTCTTTCAACCACTTAGAAGTCTCAGGTGGGGGGATGGGAGGGAAGGCTATAAAAAAAAAAAGAAAAAGAGGCTATATATGGAGCCATGTTTCTTTGATCCTACCTTGTTCATTTTCCTGAGAGACCTCCACACCTAATGCAGATGCTGCCACCACCAATACCGTTTTGGTAGACTCCTTGACTACCATTCTGTTATGACTATTGGTAGGACTTCTGATGAACCTCAGAACATCCTGAACTCACTGGTAACCTGGGCACTCCTATCAACTAAAGATTAGGAAAGAACAAAAGACAAGAGCAACAGAGATACCATTGGCCAGCTAGGGAAGGGGCCAGCTACTCCTTATCCCAATTCACTCAAAAGAGATCCTATTGCACCTTTTCTAAGCACACTCAGATCCAGCTCACAAATCATGAATCATCAGTCCATCTGTCTTTGAAGCCAGTTAGAAGGTTTTTTCATTACACATAGTACTAACTTTGAGTCATCATGACTGAAACCTGATTCCCCGAAGTTACTCATGTTGAACTGGAGCCAGGCAAGAATTATCTGGTACAAATATCATACCACAAGGACTGGGCACCACATAGGCCAGTTCCCCCAGTACATCAGATTAAAATGTTATAAATGCATTCATTCTTTCATGTGTAATTTATTAAGCACCTACTGTATGCATAGCACTGCTAGGTGCTGAGGAAGATACAAAAGTAAGACAATCCTTCCACTCCAGGAGTGGGGATAAACACATATTCTCAATAAAGACCCATTAATCAATTATTTTATTAAGTACCTGCTTTGTGCCTGGTATTATGCTAGTCACTAGGGATGCAAAGACAAAAATAAAACAGCCCCTGCTGTTGCGAGTTTTAAGTTCTAGTGGAGGGGGTGTGGGGATATAGATTGTTGAATAGGTGTATGAGGTGTCCAAAAGTCTTAGTGCCGTTTTAAGCTCTAATGTTTAAGACTGCACCAAAACTTTTGGGACTGCCTGTATACAAGATCCCTATAAAGTAGATAGAAGATAATCTTCAAGGGAACATCCTGAAGGACCAGGGAAAGCCTCCCGCTGAAGGTGCCATTGGAGCCGTCTTAAAGGAAACCAGGGATCCCAAAAATCTGAGGAGAGCATTACAGGTATGAGGGACAGCCAGTGCAAAAAAAAAAAAAGCCCGAAGTCAGGAGATGGAGTGATTTGTGTGAGGAATAGCAAATAGATGGGCATAGCTGGACTGTGTGAAGGGCAGCAATGTATAAAAAACTGGAAAGGTGGTAAGGGGCCTGGTTGTGACAGGTTTTGAATGGCAAACAGAAGCATACATTTTATCCTAGAGGTAATCGGAAGCCAGTGGAGTTTGGAGTGGGGAGGTTGACACAGCCAGAGAAGTACTGGCTGGAATGTCATTGCCAAAGTGGAGGTCTGGAGATGCTGAAAGGTTTCCTGGAGGAGTTCGTATTTGAGTTGTACTTTAGAAAGGAGGGGCTGGCTGGGTGAGCAGAGACGGAACTGGAACACTAGGCTGCTGCCGCTGCTGCTGGTGGTGGAGGGATTTGGAAATGAATCCTCCAGCCTGAAGGGTAAGAAAGAGGACCGTATGGCTCCGTGCGATGCCTTCCTCCAAATCCTCAGAGCCCAGGCCCGTTCATTCCACAGGCTCAGTTGCTGGGAGCTGGGCAGGATTGGCCTGGGCTCACCTACGTTCTGGCTAGGAACCTTGTGACGCCTGCGCACAAGACGCTAAGAACTACATTATCTAGGATTCCCGGGACAGACCATTCAGCTCCTTGACTCCCAGCGATCTCTGCGGTCTTGAGTGCCCCTCCCGTGGGCTGGAGCGGAGACAGTTCTTACTGCAGACTAAGGAGGGGCTGTTTTAACCTTATCACACGCCCCCAGCAGAGAGCAAAGAACAGCTCCTTTGTTTCGAGGAAGGACTCGCTCGTAGGTCTAGAAGGAAGCACTGGCTGGGGGGTGGGGGAACCGGGAGTGACGTAGGTTATGGGAAAACGCGAGATCCCCATAAAACCGTGGATTTTTTTTAGAAAAATAATTGTTCCCGTTGCTATAGTGCTCTATGGCTTACAAAGAGCTTTCCCCACATCTTTCCAGAAGGACACGCCAGGATTATTAGACCCAGGTAAGGAGAAATTGCAGTAGGAGAATTTAGCTTCAGTCAGAGATTATATGCGTTGTCTATATGTCTAAGGGTTTCTTCAGGTCTCTTGAAATCTAATTAAGTGAGTCTCTACAACACATTTCCTTTGTGGGGAACCCTGGAAATTTTGTAAGGGAACCCGCTAAATGAGACCCAAGCAGTGGCACAATTTGAGCACAGGTGCAAATTTCAAAAGTTCATGGAGATGGAGTCAGATGACATCTAGTCCAAACTTTTATTGTTATAGTCATCATCATCATCATCAGACTGGGTCTCTCTATCTCCCCCAGGCTAAAGATACACTGGGTGGAGCTACTCATGGTCTTCTCTCATCCTTAATCTGCGCTGGAGTTTTGACCTGCTCTGTTTCTGACCAAGGCCTGAAGTTGGACTGAGTGAGGACATACAGTTGGCTTAGCCCACTGCAGCTAAGAATTCCCAATTCAAGATCTGTCTGACTCAGGCTCCCCAGTAGCTGAGATTAGAGTTGTGTGCCACCACCCCTGCTCAACCCTTTTATTTTACAGTTGAGGAAATTGAGACCCTTAGAGTTTAAGTGACTTGCCCAAGATTACATGGGTAGCATATATGTTGGAGATGAGATTCAAACCAACTGTCTCTGACATCAAAGTTCTTTCCACTATACCACACTAGTTCCCTATTTCCTTCCTTTGCCCTAGTGAGGGATCGAAAAGCACAAAGGCAGAATATTTCAGCGAGTCCAGCGTGCATTAGAATGGCCTTTGACTCTGGGTCTAGGGTTTCTGGGTTCCCCATGCCAGAGAGAATCTGCCCTAGGGGCAAGCCACAACAGGCTTTGGGAATCACCTTGTTAGGTGATTCAGTCCACACTTGTGCCCTGAACTGCTAGTAGCAGCATCTAGGACAGCTTTGCAAAAGTGCTGAGATCCAGACCTGGAGCTACCCGATTAGATTGCTGGGAATATCTACGCAGAGGTGAATTCCTGAGTCCTGGGGACTACCAGTATAAGAGTGCAGAGGAATAGTGAGCTGGGGAAGAAGAGAGGGAGCTTTCTCACCAGCCATTTTTCCTTCCTGTTTAAACTCCAGTGGTCTACCAGGATTAGGGTCCCCCCCCAAAAAAAGCACACATAAATACATATACCCCACCTCCCTCCCCACAGCCCAAGGAAGTCAGAAAGATTTGCTGGAGGCAACTGGGGAGAGGGGGGAGAAGTAGTGAACTCACCAGTACCTGGCACATAGTGTGTGGTTAATGTTTGCTGATTGATCGACTGACTGGAGTGGGGAGAGACTGGAAATAAGGAGATCAATTAAAGAAGCTATTGCAATAGTCCAAATGAGAGGTCATGAGGAGTTATGACAAGGGTAGTGGCTTTATGAGTGGAGAGAAAGGGATAGATATGAGAGATGTCATGGAAGAAGAATCAACAAGACCTGGCAAGTGTGACTTGGTTACATCCTTGCCTCACTTGTGGCTTGGATCCAGATGCATCCTTTACCCCAACCCTTGCCCTGGCTCCTTATGTTCCCTAGTGTCTCAGGTTGGGCTGTATACATTCCTTGGTCAGGAAGACCTGAGTTCAAATCCAGCTTCAAATACTTACTAGCTGTACAACCCAGGGCCTGTAATTTAAATGTTTTCTGCCTCAGTTTCCTCAACTGTAAAATGGGGGTAATAATATCACCTATCTCCCAGGATTGTTGTGAAGATCAATGGGATAATATTTGCAAAGTGTTTAACACAGTGCCTGGTACATAGTAGGTGCTTAATAATTGCTTATTTCCTTCCTCCCTCTTGCTGTGCCATTATTGGCTGTCTCTTCCAGGTGTAAGTCATGTCCCCACACCCACAAGCTCTGGTTTTACACAGACTAGGTCCAATCTTGGGCACCACCCCCCAAAATATCAAAAACTTTTTGGCTCATTATGCCATTGTGAAGGTTCTACAGATATATGTAACAAGCTTAACAGCTCCCTGGATAACAGTGCAAATAACTAGTATGGGATGGGTTGTTTCCATCCCGCAGAAAATGCAAAACACATAGGAGATTCACAATAGCCTATAAACAATCTGCTGCTTTTCCCTGATGCCAACGTCCTCCCAGAGACCTAAAGTACTCTAAACTCTAATGGCCACCCTGTAGACTGGATCCCTTTAGAAGTAAACTAAACTTAGAGCTGCCAGCAGGGCAACCTTCCCTGCCCCCAACATTCTGATAAGTCCCACTTCCTACAATTAGAGCCATCCAAAAGTGCCAGGGGCTGCCTTGAAGAGTAGTAGCTTACCCCTCTCTGGAAGTCTTCAAGGCAGGATGACCACATTGTTGGGGATGTCTAACCTTTTCTCCACAGGATAGCATGGCACTGTGTTTTTTCTCCATGCTAAACATCTCTAGTTCCCACAGGTATAACTAGAGGGAGTTGTGAGACAGCCACAAAGTAGTTTCCTCAACTGAGTACAGTTGCTCCAGGAAAGGGAAGAGAGTCTAGTCTAGTTGCTGAGGCATGGGTGATGACCACTGACCTTGGGGGGCAGGTGTCAAGCAGGTGGCAGGATAGTAGGGCACTGGCATAGATGGTCCCTCAAGAAACGACTGAAAGTCACGAGGGCCTACAGGAGATTCAGAGATCCAAGATGATAGACCAGAAGACTGTCATGAAAAGAATACATGCCCCTCCATGTTGGCACCCTGGGGGCAAAAGCCTGGTCGCTTGGCCCCAGTTAGAGCTCTGCCAGTCTCTGAAAGTATCCTCTTATGGGACAATAACATTCTTCATCTTCTTCTTGAGCTTCATTCCTGCTGCACCAACTGGAAATGTCCATCTCTCTGCTCCACAGGCATCTTAAACTCAACATATTCAAAACAGAACTCTACTTTCCCCCAAGGCCACCCTTCCTCCTAACTTCCCTAATTCAATAGAGGGCACTATCATCCTTTCAATCACTCAGGTTCTTAACCTCTGAGCTCTCAACTCTTTATTCTCCTCCATCCTTCAAATTAAACCAGTTCCCAAGTCTTGTTGATTTTTTTTCTCCCACCACATTTCTCCCATCTGTCTCCTTCTTTCACTCACATAGCAACTTCATTAGTTCAAGAGGTAATCATTTCTCCCCTGGACTATTGTAATAACCCTCCTAACTGGTCTTCCTCACTCCAAGCTCTTCCAATTCCAATCTAGTTTCCATACAGCTACAATACTAATATTCCTAACACACAGGTCTGACCATGTCACTCTGCTCAAGAAGCTTCACTGCCTCCCTATTGCCTCTAGCATTAAATAGAAACTTGTTTACTTGGCATTTAAAGCCCTTTATAATCTGGCTCCAAACCAGGTTGATTTCACCTGCCTCTCCCTCATAAACTCTCTATTCTTGTCCATCCAGCCTTCTGGCTGACATACCGCCAGCCATCTTGCACAGGTTGTCCCCAACTGCTGAATTCATCTCCTTCCTCCTCCTTATCTCTTAATTCTTGAAATCTCCAATTTCCTTCCAGGTCAGGCTCAAGTGCCATGTCCTTGTATAAAAAAAGTGTCTTCCTAAAAAAAAAAAGCGTCTTCCTGATTCTCCTACTTGTTAATGACAAAAAAAAATGTATTGGTATTTTTTTTAATTTATGCATGTTGTAAGCTCCCTGGGGTCAGCTAGGTGGCACAGTACATCCAATACTGGACCTGGAGTTAGGAAGACCTGAGTTCAAATCCTGCCTCAGACACTAGCTATGTGACCTTCATAACTTCTCTTAGTCTCAGCTTCCTCCTCAACAAAATGAGAATAATAGTGCCTACCTCACTGGGTAGTCATGAGGATAAAATGAGATATTTGTATAGTGCTTGTAAACCTTAATGCACTATATAAATGCTAATTATATTTTTGCCCTTGTATTCCTAAGGCCTATGGGTGCCTGATACATAGAAGATGTCCCCCCCAAATTCCTTGGCTAGGGTGATAATGAGTAACTGCTCACATTGCTGGTACTTCTAAGATTTACAAAGTTCTTTCTTCACCATCATCCTATGAGGTGGGTCTTAAAAGCAACCCATTTTACAGACTTCTCTGGCCCTGTTTCCTTAAGCTACTTTCCCAACACACACGGAAGGTAGAACATATCAGAGCCAGGTCTTCTGATTCAGGACACAAGGCCAAAGGAGGCTCTTTCCTCCTCAGAACAGCTGCCACTACTGACAGGGTTATCAGAACCTTTTTGTGGGTAGGGGCACAGAAAAGAGAGGCATGAAGTCCAGAGGCTGACAAAAGATGCTTTGGAGCTTGGCTTCCCCTCGGGGCAGGGGTTGTCAAACCAGTCTGGGGTTGAACAAGGACAGGGGCACCAAGCGAGGACTATGAGTTCATGTGTCCCCCTCTGTACACAATAGTCACTGATTGTTGGCTGAAGCGCATTTATGGGGGGAGGGGACTCCTGCTTGGTGAAGGAGCCATACATCTGGTTCTTTCCCTCCCCCCCTCCTTATCCAAATGTCCTCTCCCTGGAGGGCCCCGTCTTTGGTTCCCCTCCTCCACACAATTCCACTTTACATGGGGGCAGGATGATTGTAAGTCCTTGAAGTGTTTCTTGGGGACTCTGTTCAAAGTTTCAACAGCAGTGAGATCAAGGCTCACCTAACACCCTGTCTGTGTCTCCATGTTCCCCGCCCCTGCCATTCTCTCTCTTTTGTTCTCTATCATTCTGTCTCTGTCTTTCATACACACACACACACACACACACACACACACACACACACACACACACACCAGGACACCTCCAAGTTTCTGAGACCATTTTAATCAATCAATAAAGTTAAATATTCCATAAAAAATATAAAACTTCACATTCAATGTAGACCATGCTGACTGACAAACGTACCCATAGCTTGCTTACCCTATCCTATTTTCTCCATATTCCCATATTCTCTATCTACTCCCCCCACCCTGTCCCCATCCCACCATCTCCATCTCATTCTTTCCCCACCCCTAAACACCCAGTTTACTCCCACTA